ATCTATGAAATGGGGATAATGTTACAAAGTGACATAGGATAGCTTCTCCAGAAGCAAGGAGTCCTAAGCAAGTAATTTATTGGTTGCAGGGGTTGCTCTGGGGTGAAACCTACAGGGGTAAAAGAAATGAGAAAGTAAGGGAAGAAGCCAGGCAAAGATGTGGGTCCAGCTGAAGTCTAGTCTCAGCCCCATCCCCCAGGGAGCTCTGGAGTAGAGATGTCCCCTTGAGACAAAGGCAGGGCTGTGTATCCATCTTGGGGGAGGCCGAGGTCCCTGTTCTTTCCCTGATATGGTTGACTGCGTAGTGGCCCACAAAGGCATCCACATCCTCATCCCCAGAACCTGTGAATGTGTTACCTAACATGGTAGAATGGTCCTTTGCAGCTACGACTCAGCTAAGGGTCTTGAGATGGGGAGGGTATCCTGTGCTGTCAGAACAGGCCCAGTGTTATCACAAGCGGAAGGCCAGATGCTCCAGCAGGAGAGGTAACACTGCAAGTGAAGGCTGGAGGGATGTGAGGAAGGGGCACCAAGCCAAGGAATGCAGGCGGCTCCTAGAAGCTGAAAAAGGCAAGGAAACAGATTTTCCTGAGGCCTTCAGAAGGAGCTCAGCCCTGCTGCCATCCTGATTTTCGACTTCTGAGCTCCAGAACGGTAAGAGAATACAATCCATGAATACGGGCTTAATCCACTGAGGGAGTGGTCATTTGTTTCAGCAGCAACAGAAAACTGATACACCTGCCAAGGTTGGGTGGCCACACAATTTGCCCCAGGCCCAAGGGTCCTTGTCCCAGCTCTGTGGGTGCCAGCAGTTACTGACCCTGTTTAATAAGCACCTGCTGTGTGTCAGGCACAGGCGACAGTGTTTGTGCTGCACCCAAATCCTGCTGGATGCTGCTTACCAACTCTGAGGGCCCCGTCCCACCCCTGGCTTCTGTGTGCTTTAGTATCTGATGGCCATCAGGCCGCTGGAACCGCTTTGACCCTGAGTGCAGAGAACTGGAAGCCAGGGTGACGCTCGGCCAGTGGCAGAGGGCCTTGCTTTGAGTCTGACCAACACAGAGCCATGATCTACACTGCAGGCACCCCTCCCCACCCTCCTGCATGTATCCTGGCTGGGTGCCTCCCTCGCCCTCACTAGCTCCCCTGGGAGCACACCCTTGATGCATCCCTTGTACAGGAATCCTCATCTCAGACTTTACTCCTGGGGTCCAGCCAGAGCAGCACTGTACCGGGGGCCCTTTCTATCTGGTCCTCACAGTTCCGCCCCGAGGCGGGGAGGGTGATGATTCTTATCTGACAGGAAACTGAGGCTCTGATCAGCTCACAGGCTGCAAAGGTTAAGTCAGAATCGGAACCCAGACCCTGGAGAGGATGCTTTTCCTTCCTTCACTTGAATTTTGCAGCCTTCCAGACAGCCCCTTCCCCTGACTCCTCCTGCAGCCCTGGGGAACGGGAATCGTCCTGGTCTGCATTTCCTGCCGCAGGAAGTGGCTGGGTGCAGTGAGCTGGGCTCTGGACAAGAAGGGTCTTTTCGGGACCCTGCCCATCTCACCCCCAGACCCGGGGGGACTACTGAGACCTGAAATGTGGGTGCTGTAGCTGTGGCTCCTTGAGGGCATGAGAATCGCTGAAAACTCTGCAGGCTTCGTGCTGATTCTTCAATCAAATCCTGGCAAATGACTTATCCCTCCTTTCCCAGCCCCCTGTTTTCTCCTGTGTCACCTGGAGATCATAATCTCCACCTCACACAGCTGTGGCCAGAATGGAGGGAATAACAGATGGGAACGTGATTAGCACAGAACCTGGCACAATGAGAGTGCTCCTTCCCTGCTCAGTTAATCCCTCCAAGTCTCAGTTTCTTTGTCCGTAAAGTGGGGAGAATATCTACTGCACAGTCATATCTGGAGAAGCTGTAGCTGGCGGGGGTCGGGGGTTCAGAGTCCTGATCCTGGGTGACCTCGGACTAGCCACTTACCCTCTCCGTGGTCTGTTCCGCCCTCTGGTTTGTGAGAGTCACGTGAGTGAAGGCAGTGACGTGCTCAGAACGTGCCCAGCACACAGTAAATGCCATTGTTGTCGTGTGTGAAGGCCTGGCTATGCGCCCAGCATGCAGCAAGGGCTCAGTAAACAATGGCTGTTTATTCGTCAGCATTTCCTGGCCCCTGTAATGAGAAAGGTCACCTCCACCTTCCCACATAGCCCTGTGGTTTCCATTCCCAAACTCCCAGGGCCCTGTGCTCAGGCTTGCTGGCTGGAGTTGATGTTGTGAGAAGCACGTGCCCTCCACGTCCCTCCACCTTTTCATGCCTCCAGCTCTCACCCCAAACGTGCCTCTTCCACTCTTCTCTCCCAACCAGGGCCCATCCTGTACCTGCACTTGCTCTGCAGCTGCCATCAGCTACTTGGTGGTGACTCACACCAGAGCTGGGCTGATGCTGCGCAGGTGTGTTCTCCTTCCCAGAGCTCCTTAAGGCACTGGCCCCGCCATTGTTGAGTGATGGCCACCCCCTGGCACCCCACAGGTGTGCTGACTGTCTCCTCTCCCCAAAGAAGAGTCGACTCAGCAGCCCCTTCCAGGTGGACAACCAGTTCCCCGTGACTTCCCACAAATGCCTCTCCTGCTCACCGGGGGTCCCTTTGTGTAGAAGCAGCCGCTCGGTGTGTTCGTGTTGGTGCATCCTCACCCAGTGGGGAAAAGCAGCCCGAGTATCTCAACCTGACGCGTCTCAGACTGAAAACAGCAGCCATGGGAGGTTGTACGTTTCTTTTTCTGGACCACACAGGTCTGCACTGCAAGGCTCCTGTTGTTTTCTTTCCTAGGGCTCAGGATGGACAAGGTAGCCCAGAGCTGGACCAACTGCCAAGAGAAGGAGTCCCTTCTGCCCTCTGCCCTCTCAACAGTAAGACTGGCTCTGCCTCCCTCCCACTGGGCAGTCCCCACTGCTCCAACTGCCTCCTCCGTTGCACCCAGGAACTCAACTGGGCTCCAGCCTGAGGGAGTCAGGCCCATCTCATTCTCCAGGCAATGCTGAAACTGGGCAGGCAAGAATTTGAGTCTGACCCCAGGATGTCTGCCTTGTTAAATAAGACCAACCTAGAAAACAAACAAGGAGTGAAAACCTCCAAACCCACCTGCTTGGAGCTCAGCCAGTTCAAACAATATTGACGAGCCCTGGCACTGGGCTAGGCCTGGGGCTCGGGGAGGAAGCCACATGTTGCCTACCCCTGAGACAATCACAGTCTAGTGGGAAAGAGAGACCAATAGGTTCCAGTACCCAGTGAGGTCCAAGGCACTGCCAAGGATACCAAAGTCCAGGGGACACAGGCTGAGTCCTGCTGAAGACTTTCAAGGCCTCTGCCAAGAGGAGCACACCACACAGCCCATCTCCCTTCCCCTGCATGAACTCTAGCTGACATTTGCTTCTCTAGCTCCTCCTCTGACAGGCAAGCCTTTCTCTTTCTTTCCCTCTCCTCCTCCTTGAAGCAGCTCCCAGCCTCACTTGCTTCAATCTCTCTGCTCCATCTTGCCCGCCCTACACACACGCATGCACTCACACACTTTCTCTCTCACACACTCACACACACTCACACTCTCACACATTCTCTTTAACATACACACTCACATACACACACACATTCTCTCTCACACACATTCTCTCACACACACACTCTCACCCACACTCACACACACATTCTCTTCACACACACAGTCTCTCTCACACACATTCTCTCACATATACACACTGTCTCTCACACACACATTCTCTCACATACACACATTCTCTCACACACACATTCTCTCACACACTCTCTCACACACATTCTCTCTCACACACTCTCACACACATACATTCTCTCTAACATACACACACTCTCACACACACTCACACATTCTCTCTCATATACACTCTCACACACACATTCTCTCACATATACACACACTCTGACACACACACACTCACATACACACACTCACACTCTCTCAAACACGCACACTCTGTCTCACACACTCACACACCACACACTCACACTCACACACACACACTCACATTCTCTCACACACACACTCACACACATTCTCAAACTGCCCTTTCTGTCTCACACACTCACACCACACACACACAGTCTCTCACAACATTCACACACAAACTCTCACACTCACACTCTCTCACACACTCTCTCAAACACGCACACTCTGTCTCACACACTCACACACCACACACTCTCACACTCTCACACACACACACAGTCTCTCTCACAACATTCTCTCACACACTCTCAAACACGCACACTCTGTCTCACACACTCACACACCACACACTCTCACACTCTCACACACACACACACAGTCTCTCTCACAACATTCTCTCACACACAAACTCTCACACACTCACACACACACACTCTCACATACACTCACATACTCTCAAACACGCACACTCTGTCTCACACATTCACACACCACACACACACAGTCTCTCTCACAACATTCACACACAAACTCACACACACTCACACTCTCACACACTCACACACACTCTCACATACACTCACATACTCTCAAACATGCACACTCTGTCTCACACACACACACCACACACTCTCACACACACACTCACACACACGCAGTCTCTCTCACAACATTCACACACAAACTCTCACACACACTCACACACACACACTCACACACACACACACACTCTCACATACACACACACTCTCTCTCACAACACTCTCACACACACACACATTCTCTCACATACCCAATCACAGTCTCCCCACTCCCAAACATACCCTCTTTCCTCCTCACTCCACATAATATAGAGCGATTTAGTATCACCTTTTCTCACTTGACTGTCCCCTTGGCATGCCCCCCACTCTCTGCCATCCCCACTGCCCCCTCCTCCACCATCAGCCTCCTCCCTGCAACCAAGGGACTCGGCTAAGTGTTGTCTCTGAAGGGAATTCCGATGACCATAATTTTCTCAATCTCATTGCAAATTTTTAAAAACCTGGCTTTTTAAAGGGCTAAACTGCTCATGAATTTTTAAGCGCCAACATAAGACTTTAAAGACATTTCCTGCTAATGAGATTAAGTGAGATAATGTATGTGGCACGTGGCGCACTTCCTGCACGCCTGAGATTGCGCTCTGAGGCCGTTGCTTCAGGCCAAGCCTCAGACGGCCAGAGGGTCTCCTTCACTTTGGAGGGAAAATTTGCAAAGCCTTGCAGTATGGTGTGACGCTGGCAGCAAAGGACGGGGCGCCAGGAAGGAGTCCTGCAGAAACCTTCGGGCAGGAGTGTGTAAGGGTGGGTGTGCACACGTGTGTGTGTGCATGTGTGTGATCTGGAGGTGAGGAAAACGAGATGTGTTGGGAGAACTCCAACCACACACTGCCTGGCTCATCCCTCCCTTGGGGTCTCACTCAGCTGCTGTCTCTGGCTGCTACCACCATGCTGGCCTCAGGAGGTCACTGTGATCATCACAGTCCCTTCTGCTTTGGGTTGAACTCTTTTCCCGTAGTTCCCTGCAATAGAATGGAGGTTGGCTGTCATTTCCAAGAGAGTTTTGCAGGAAGAACATGATGAAAACCTGATTATATTTGTACTCACCTTTGCACTATAGTTATTTCTTAAAGTTCAGTTTCCAGTTCCCAGAGATCCTGTGAAAGTGGCAAAGACATCTGTAGGCCTCTGAGTCTCTACCCTAAGACAACCACAAAGACACAAGTGTCCACTTGGGCATTCATCTGGGGGCGCTCTACTGACCAAGGGTCAACCGCAGTGCCTGGGCATGGGAAAAGGAACCTCCACCTCCTGCCCTGTGCTGGACTGTGACAGGAACTTTATATTCCCATCCGCTAACTCACTCTTGCCCCATAACAACCTCATGACACATGGTCCAGTAAGGCCAAGCTGCTTACCTAAGGTCACAGAGTTGGAAATAACCCCATTTATGGAATGTACTACTGATAAATGCAAGGATTTACAAGGGCTCAAGCTCAATCTAGGCAAGAAGCATGGGGCTTTGGTGGTGACCCAAAGCCTAGCTCTGCAGCAGCTCAGCCCGGCCATGCTTCCTTCTCAGCTAGAGCAGGAATTTTGGATGCTAGGATCCTGGCAAGCCTCAGCCGGCTATTCCTTTCTCTCCCTCCTCCACCAGCCACTGAGTCCTCCTGCCTCTACCCGGCCCCAGCCAGGCTCTGTGGGTGGGGCAGCACTCTCTTCTGGTTCTTAGTTGCCATGGACCTTACCCTCTGGCAGGACCCCTGCTGTCCTCTCCTGCAGGGTGGATGGCAAGATGGGACCAGCACAGCTCCTGATACAATGAACCCTGGGCTCTAATCCCAGCCCTGCCATGTATGAGCTGTGTAACCTCAAGTATGTGAACTCATCTCTCTGTGCATGTTTACTCCCTAAGACACAACTAACAGTAGTACTCTACGATAAGAGCTGTTGTGAGGCTTTCTTCACCTTTTGAAAGAAAGAAAGAAAGAGAAAGAAAGAAAGAAAGAAAGAAAGAAAGAAAGAAAGAAAGAAATATCTGGGGCCACGGCTGGCGGTGTAGGTGGAGGCTGTTGTGGGAGCTTGTGCTGTGGAGAAGAGAGAAGAGAAGAGAGAGAGAGAGAGAGAGAAGAGAAGAGAAGGAAGAGAGAGGAAGAGAAGAAGAGAGAGAGAGAAGGAAGAAAGAAAGAAAGAAAGAAAGAAAGAAAGAAAGAAAGAAAGAAAGAAAAAGAAGGAAGGAAGGAAGGAAGGAAGGAAGGAAGGAAGGAAGGAAAGAAGGAAGGAAGGAAGGAAAGGGAAAAGACAAGACTATATAGCATTTACTTTGCGCCAGACATGACTTTAAGCATTTTATCCCTAATTTCATCCTCATGACAATCTTATAAGGGAGCCACTGTTGCTATGTTATTTTACAGATAAGGACTCCAAGGCACAGAGATTAAATAACTTGCTCAAGGTCACACAGCTAGTAAGAGGCAGAGGCAGGATTCAAACCCAGGCAGTCTGGCTCCAGAGTTCAGGTGCTTAACTTCCTACTCTATAGTGAAATGATAAGTGTGAAGGATTTTTAGCATAAAACTCAACAAAGAGAAAATGCTTGGTCAATGGTAGCTATAGTTGTCATATGACCTTGGCAGGTCATTTTACTTCTTTTTTTTTTTTTTTTTTTAGACTGAGTCTCCGTCTGTAGCCCAGGATGGAGTGCAGTGGCGCAATCTTGGCTCACTGCAACCTCCGTCCCCCGGGTCCCCGTTCAAGCAATTCTCCTGCCTCAGCCTCCTGAGTAGCTTGGATTACAGGCACCCGCCACCTTGCCCAGCTAATTTTTGTATTTTTAGTAGAGACAGGGTTTCACCATGTTGGGCAGGCTGGTCTTGAACTTCTGACCTCGTGATCCACCAACCTTGGCCTCCCAAAGTGCTTGGATTACAGGCATGAGCCACCGTGCCTGGCAGGTCATTTTACTTCTGTCTCAATTTTTTCATCCCTAAAATGGGACTAGTGATCGCTCTGTGCCGGGCTTGGGGTGAGAGTTCATCAGAATAATGGGTGTGAAATGTCTGTCACAGATCCTAACACAGAGCAGGGCATAGGCTCTTGGTGGTTCTCCTTTCTAGAAGGGACCTACAGAATGGGGTCGGCACTGGTGGTAGCTAGACACATCCACTGAGTCAGCAAAAGCAAGGTGTAAGAACACCATCAGCCTTGAGGGGCCCGGGCAGAGCAACAGATGTGTGGGCAGCCGGAAATGCAGAGCATGGATGCAGGGTCTCTGATGTGGGAGGTGGCATCTGGGGGTTCAGATGCAGCATTGGGAAGAAAGGGGTGAACACTTATGTGGTCATCTAATCCTCACAATGACCCTGAGAAAACAAGAGTCTCAGAGAGGGGATGTGACTTGCCCAAGGCCACGTCTCTAGAAAGGGGTGGCAATGAGGTTTGCCTCCCAGACGCCTCTGCGGTTCCTCTCTCCCCACACTGCCCGTCGGCAGAATGAAGGGCCGAGCTACGAGGTCAAGCTCTAGGTTAGGAGTAACTGTTTCTTAAGAAAGACCAGGCCGGACGCGGTGGCTGACGCCTGTAATCCCAGCACTTTTGGAGGCCGAGGCGGGCAGATCACTTGAGGTCAGGAGTTTGAGACTAGTTGGCCTGGCCAACATGGTGAAACTCCATCTCTACTAAAAATACAAAATTAGCCTAACCTGTAATCCCAGCCACTCGGGAGGCTGAGGCAGGAGAATCGCTTGAACCTGGGAGACGGAGATTGCAGGGAGCTGAGATTGTGCCATTGCACTCCAGCCTGGGTGACAAGAGTGAAACTCCGTCTCAAAAAACAAAAAACAAACAAAAAAATTAGCCGGATATGGTGGCCACGCACCTGTAGTCCTAGCTACTCGGGAGGCTGAGGCAGGAGAATTGCTTGAACCTGGGAGGCGGAGCTTGCAATGAGCTGAGACTGTGCAATTGCACTCCAGCCTGGGCAACAGAGCAAGACTCTGTCTCAAAAAACAAAAAAATCCAGCAAAAGAAAGGTGATAGTCCCTCCTGCAAAAGTGTCCCAACTAAGCAGGTAGTACGGTGGGGCCCGGAGCCGGGGAATGTAGAAGGGCTTGGCTGAGGACAGTAGCAGGCAGGCAGGGGTGAACCGGCGGCACGGGTGGCTGGAGGCTGCCTGGAGTCTGGCTCAGCCCTGGGGAAGGGGGTGGGCAATGCCTCGCTGGGGCATGGAGGGAGGATCCCCTGCGATCTAGAGAAGGGCATAAGGTGTTTCCCCCACCTCTGCCAATCCCCCCAGAAGATTTTCCCCATACACAGTAAAAGGAAAGGCTCTCAAAGCAACCGATTGGGAGAGTCACAGCAGGGGTGACAAGAGCGCTTTCTAGGGCAGTTGTATGCTATCTTCAGAGGCAGAAAGCCACTTCCTGTGGCCTCAATGGTACCCTGTGAAAAACCAGGCCCTGGCCCAGCAGCCAAGAGGGCCGGGATAGGTTCACCCAGACCCATTGCCCTACGAGCAGATTTGTTTTTTCCAGAGCGACTCTTCACGGCTTCTCCTCTTCCCTGGTGACAATGACAGCCAGCGATGGGCTGACAGCCTACTCCCAACCTGGCCTGGGTCTGGTGGCCCCAGCGTGAGATCACCATAGTGAGGTCTAACCTCAGCATCGCCATGGGGATGTTCACATGCCACGCTGCCTGCAAGCAGCACCTTTTTCCCCGGGAGAGTGGGTGGGGACCGTGGCTGATGCTGACTACGTATGATGTGGCCTGCTCCTGGCTGCTGGGGCTGTTTGTCCCCAAACATATGTTGTCAGATCTCAGCTGAGTGGGGTGGGCCAGGGGACTCACTCAGGACCTGCGGGCTCTATTGTGTGTCTGTGTGTTTGGGGTATGGCGAGAGGTGTTTATTAGACCTCACGGGCAGCCTCATTTTCTTGTCTCCCTGGGCTCGCCTGGGCTGCTGATCACCGTGCTCCCAATGGGCCTCGGATTGACATTCGCAGCAACCTGGTTTCCATAGCAACCAGCTGTGACATCACAAGGAACCCACGGACCCTGGAGCTGGAACAGAGGAAGCTTGAATGTCTGTTTGGGGAAGAAAGCCTTTGCTCCCCCTCCTTCGGCCTCTCCTGTGATAGGGGAAGAGGACATAGAAACGCTGAGAGAGCCAGGGCCTCCGCTTCTCTGGAGGTTTGAGTGGGGTCTACTCGAAATCTTTCCCTTCCTCTCTTTGTCCCCGTTCTCCTCATCCCTCAAAAAATATGTATCTCATTTTCCTCAACTGTAAAATGGGGACATTAGAAGCCGCTCTTGAGTGTTTATTATGTGCCAGGCACTATTATAAGCATCTTGCATGGATTTTCTCATTTACTTCATAACAACCCTATAAAGTACTTTCTTCTTAGTATTCCCCCTTCTGTAAGTGGAGGGAAAGGAAGTACAGCAGAAGGATTGGAATCAAGACAGCCTGGCTCCAGAGCCTGTTTTCATAACTACGAGAAAATGCACCAGATTCCTTCTGAACGCCGCCTGCCACGTGCACGGCTACAACTCTATTTCCAGCCATGCTGTGGCAAGCAGTTCCGGGCGGGCTTCAGCTCCCTTTGCACCACCAGCACCTCGCCTCCTGTCAGCATGAGGCGGTTTTCACTTTCGCCCAGGGGCTTCCGCAGCACCCCAACACAAGGCTGGCAGGAGCGGGCTCAGCGGGAGGACTTGTGGAGGGAAGTTGCTTCCACTGAGCCAGCCTCAACCTGGGGTGCACAGGCGCCACCGAGTGAATGCTTCTGCCAGGCGGTCATCTGGCCCACAAGGTCCCTCTGTGCACTGATTGGAAGGTCCTGGCAGCGTTGAGTCCCAGGCACCCATGGCATGATGCACCTAATAATGCACCGTTATCTTGGCTCTTCTGCTTTCTCTTTTTTCCCATTGGTATTCATCCCTCATTTCTGGTCCCTAGAATGACTTCCAAAATAAACTCCCTATACACAAGTCTTTGCATCGGATTCTACTTTGGGGGGGATCTTAAGCTAAGAGAGTTGCAGCCCTGAGAACGCCACTACAGGGGGCCATTTTGGAGCTGGGTCACTTGGTGAGGTGCAATGAGGACGCTGTTGTCGTGGGATGTGTGATGGTGGCCACCCTGGTATTACGGTGATGAAGACCGTCCCTGTGGTGGGCTGGGAAGAGGTACAGGTACAATGAGGTAGGGGATCAGATGAAAGCACTGGCACCTAAACAATCCAGGGGCAATGGTCCTTACAGGGATGGTGAGGCTGGCTGGCAGCTAACTGCTCTGGAAGCCTTAAAGGAAGAAAACAGCAGGCTCAGGTTGATCCACTGTCAACTCAGGCCATGCAGTGGAGAGCAAAATCCCCATGGTGCTGTTGTAAGAGACTCTCGCCTTCTGCAGCCAAAGCGTATCCTGTACTGAAAATCAGGCTCGGCATGGAATTGGGGGCAGGAGGGTCACAGGGTTGTGAAGGAGAAGGAGGGCATAGCTTGGCTGGATCTCAGCCAAAGTCAAGAACCCTGCTGGGCAGAGAGTGGGATGCTGAGACCTCAGGTGGGGATAATTGGGCAGATGATTCTGAGAATCTTGGGGGCCCAGACGCCTCTGGAACTTTGAGCACTGAAGTCCCATAACTCAGCAAAGCACTCCTTGGCCAGTTGGGCCAGGCCAAGGCTGGGCTTCCTCTAGGGGAAAGCTACCATGTCCCCCCATCCCCACCCCATCTCCTGCTTCACTCAGTCGCCCGCTGAGAAACCCCAATCAGTAATGGGTATTGTCCAAGCAGAATACGAGGTCCTGCAGCTTAATTCACATCCAGTGAGACTGAGATTAATTCAGTTTTGAGCAGAAATACAACTCGAGCAGCTGGAGAGTAGACCGTGGCTCGGGTTCAGCTAGACCTGGGGACTCCTCCCATTCAGGGCCCAGGCAGAATGCCACCCTGTCGATTTCACGGCTTGTTGGGATGCTTAAGGAAGCTCATGGATCCAAAATGCAGTATCAGTGACTGAACAGGTTTTTACTGTACACCAGGCACTGTTTGATATGAGACAACAGCTGTAAATCGGCTCTTGTCTGTTTTCAAAGCACTCACGTCGAAGTAGGGAAGATAAGAGCATCTAAACAGACCGTGCTGCCCGTAGTAAAGCTGCTTTTGAGATGTGACTAAGTGCCTGGCTTTGTGCTGAACTCACCAATACACAGTATCGTAAGATTCTTAAAATGATCCTACAAGGGAGAGATTTTCACCCCCATTTTACCAATGAGAATGGTCAATAGGGCTGGGATTTGAACCCAGCCTTATCTCGCTCTTCCCTCTGCACACAGCCTGCTTATCTTGAGACGGCGTGACAGCCTCAGCAGAATGGTGTCCAGGATGCAGGGGAGAGAAAGATTGATTTGGCCTGGTGGGACGGTCCAGCAAGGCTTCCCAGAGGGGGTGATAAGGCAATTTGTGTATTTCAAAAGCTGAATAAATGTGAACCACAGTGGGTTACGATTAAGCACCTATAGTGAGGGCTCCATCTTGGGATCAAGTTTTTAGAAATGGTTCCAATCAAAGCAAGCACCAGCTCCAGCCACTGCATAATACTCAGTTAGAGGTGGCTCCCCAGGTCACAGAGCCCACGTCTGCCCCCAGAATCCTGAGAGACCAACGCTCCTGTGCTCAGCTCTTTCTCTCTTCCAGCCTTTCCGACAAATGAGCCCGTAGGGTGGGGGTTTCTCATCAGGGTATTTTTTTTTTTTTTTTTGGCCTGGAGGGAGGTAGAGCTGTACTGATTGGGCTCCGGAATTTTGAATCAGAGGAATTCACTCAAGCTGGGTTCAGCAAAAAAAGGAGGACTTATTTATGAGGCCTCCCCAGGGGTGTCTTCGGCAGGAAGGGCCAGGTGTGGGGAGACTAAAGCATGGACTAAAGCACTTTCCTTCCACTCTGGGCACCTTTACTTGCTATTTCAAGTTAACTCAATTCAACAGATGCTGGGTTCTCACACTGCAGCCAACCTTCAGGTGGGTAAGAGGGCAGGCACCAGGTTCCAGTGCACCCCACTTCCTGCCACACCCCTGGAACCCAGCATCTAGAGCATAGAGCAGTATGGCTACCCCCAGCATCCGTTGAATTGAATTGACTTGGAATAGCAAGTAAAGGTGACCAGAGTGGGAGGAAAGTGCTTTCTGTTGCAATTTAAGAAGACCAAGTCCTCCCAGAGGCCTTGCATGTGTGTCTGTACATGCGGTTTCTCTCTGGGTAGACCTTTATAAGCCAGTAATGTCGACAAGGGTCACTCTTCCTCATTTCCGGATGAAGAAACCAAATTGCCCAAGCAATTTGGTTTGAAGCAAGTTGCCCAAGGTCACACAGCAAGAGGAGTCTCTGGCTCAGTATTCCTCACTGGGAGTTCAGGAATCCCAAGAGGAGGGGGTTTGCATCACACCTGGAGATAGGTTTCTAGGTTCTAAAATAAGCCATACAATGTTAAGACACTATTTACAGATAGAAGGAAATGCCTCGGAGCTACAGGGGCCTGGGTTTTGAATTCTGCCTTTGTCATTTCCTAGGTGAACTTGGGCAAGCGATTTATCTTCTCTGTAAGGACAATGACAGTGCTTCAGAGTATTCTTGAGATTGGAGGAGTCAGTCAATGCATTTTACCACCGCAGCGAGTAAACGCTCAATCAATGTACGCTCGATCAAATGTTAACTATTGTTTATTATAGTCATAAGTCACCTAACCTCTGAGCCTTAGTATTCTCGGCTACAAAATGGGGGTAATGATACTTCCTGAACAGAGCTGTTGGGAATGAGATAACATGAGATAAAATGAGATAACATGCCCAAGTGCTATCCTGGCACCCGGCTCCCCACATGTTCACTGCTTCCCCCTGCGATGCTCCCTCCTGTCAAATTTACGCTTCTAGCATAAATGAGGCGCTGGTCTAAGAAAAGCACCACTTGTGAACTCGAACGCTTACAGGCGTGAGCTGAGGAAGCATAAAGCAACTTCCCTCTCCCACCTGGTGAGAGAGCCTCCACGGGTTGTAGGGTAAAATGGTCGAGTGCTGAGTGGGTGTTCTTGATGCTGGAAGGATCCTGCTCCTCTCAGTTCCAGGATTCTCCACGGGGCCTGGAGGTGGATTCTCCAGGGGGCCCATTAGCTAACCCGACAAAGGCAGCCAGACCTGGTTGTCAATATGGGCGGAGCCGATTCCACAGGGAGATGCTTTTGGCTGGGTTGACCAGAGGTAGAGCCGAATGTGCTGGGATGCAGGGCACGGACAACTTCTGAAGACTGAGCCAGACTTGAGCCTCTTTCCCACCGTCTTTTTTAAACAAACCACATTTTTTTGTTTGAGACAGAGTCTCGCTGTGTCGCCCAGGCTGGAGTGCAGTGGTGCAATCTCAGCTCACTGGAACCTCCAACTCCTGGGTTCAAGTCATCCTCTTGCCACAGCCTCCTGAGTAGCTGGGATTACAGACGCCTGCCACCATGCCCAGCTAAATTTTTTTTTTTCTTTGTTTCTTTTTTGAGACAGAGTCTTGCTCCATTGCTCAGGCTGGAGTGCTGTGGCACGATCTTGGCTCACTGCAACCTCTGCCTCCCGGGTTCAAGTAGTTCTCCTGCCTTAGCCTCCCAAGTAGCTGGGATTACAGCTGCTTGCCACCATGCTCAGCTAATTTTGTGTGTGTGTGTGTGTGTGTGTGTGCGCGCGCACGCACATGTGTGCATTTTTAGTAGAGATGGTGTTTTGCCATGTTGACCAGCCTGGTCTCAAACTCCTGAGCTCAGGCAATCCACCTGCCTTGGCCTCCAAAAGTGCTGGGATTACACGTGTGAGCCACTGCACTGGGTCAATTTTTGTATTTTTAGTAGAGATGGGGTTTCACCATGTTGACCAGGCTGGTCTTGAACTCCTGACCTCAGGTGATCCACCCACTGGTCTTGAACTCTTGGTCTCAAGCAGTTCTCCCATCTCAGCCTCCCAAAATGCTGGCACTATAGGAATGAGCCACTATGGCCATTAAACAAGCCACAAATTAATGAGCACTTACTGCGTTCCAGGCACCATGCCAAGCAGTTTCCATGGATTCCAGCCACTGCCATCTGGGCAGCCAGCCTTAGGCAAATGCTTGATGTCTCTGAGCCTCAGCCTCCTCACCTGTGAAATGGGCTTCAGGATGGTGTCTGCCTCATAGGGCTGTTACGAAAATTAAATGAACTAATGCATTAGCAGTCATACTAAATACCAACTAAATTTTGGTATTATATACAGACATTCATCCATTTAAGCTTCACAACAATCTCCACTTCTTTAAATAAGAAAATAAAAATTTAGAGAGGTTAAATCGGTGGTTCCTAGGTGCTGACCTGACCCCATACAAATGCACATGGAGAGCATGTGAGAAACCAGGGTCCCTGCAGAGGATGATTCCATGAGTGAGCCTGGCATGGGCCCCAATAATGCAGGCTTGTCATGCCTGCAGCATCCCAGGTGATTTGGAAGTGGGAAGCCCTGCTGAGTTAGGTGATTTGGCAAAGGCCCCACTGCTGGTAGGGACAGAGGTAGGATTTGAACGTTGAGGCAGGACCCTAAATCACCATTATTTACTACGAAGAGCATGCTCCTGGTGGGCCTGCCCTAACCCGCTCTCTGCCACTCCCTAGGGCTGGAGGATTCTGGCCTGGCCCACTCTCTGAGGAGGAGGGCTGGGTGGAGCTGTCTTGAGCAGGGTCACTCAAGCAACCATTTGCAGGCCACGCTGTCCCCATCATGGGTTCCTTTTCCAAAAGCCACCTGAGCCGAGACAGTGGGTACCCATCAGCCCTTGTGGATTGTGGAATGTCTCACAACGGTCAGAAGCACATCTCCCCTGGTGGCTCCCCACAGCCGTCCTCCCCAGGGCCCATCTCCACCCTCTGGTGCCACTGGGCATGCGGAGAGCCTCTGGCAAGCTGCAAGAGCTGCCAAAGCATTTGGTTATTTTGCTCATTTTATTAATAAATGTGCACCGATGCCAACCACATGGCGACTG